AGGAGGAGGAGGAGGAGGAGGAGGAGGTGGAGGAGGAAGAGGAGGAGGAGGCGAGAAAGAAGAAGGTGAAAAAGAAGAAGAATGAGTCCTTAAGGCCCTACTGACATACCTTAAAGTAAAAAGTTCCATTGTAAACATTTAACTCACTGCCTACCTCCAATATTTCTCATTACTGTCATTTGTGAACCCGTAATTTCAATGCATATTCTATAAAAAAAACCACAGTGACATAACTAACTGACATACAGTCACGAATATAGTGGCAGTAAAAACCGATTTTTAAAAAAAACAATTTTAGTTTTAATAAGAGCACATACAGCACTTGCAATACAATTAGGTCACATAGGAGCAGAAAATTAGAGGTGTTACTAGAGAGTGACATACAAACAAAAGAAGAAGAATAAATAACAACGATAGATGTTTGATATGAAAGAAGGAGCAAACCACACCAGGGCACCCACCAACCACTCTCAGTCACACCTTTGACTGACTGAATGCAATTGTCTTATCGCTACCTAAGAATTACAAAGTTTTAACTGACATTCTTTGTCGTTTTGAGTTTCTAAGACAATGAGGTCAGAAACTAATAAATGGTTTATCTGCTCTTTCAAAAAGATAAGATTATTCGGAGTATTTATCAAGATATTCAAAAAACTGCATTTGAAAAAAGCTTGACATGCTGTGAAACTCAAATTTTTTTAACGTCAAATTTCTCAAAACTTGGTCCTGAGCAGATAGAACTTTGTACTTTTAAGGCAGCATTTTGTCTGTATTGACCTTATTTCAATGATTTAGGCTGCAGGCTCTTCAACCCTTCCAATCAGGGCTGACTGAGGGCTGAGTGGGGCACAGCATCCCAGCAGACAGACAAAAGATACTTGATAAAATTAACATCTCTGGATGTGAATCAAACTCACGTCTTCCACATGAAATGGCAAGGAGCCTAACCATTCAACCACAGAAGCAGGGCAGTACTCTCACCTCAGAGGAGTTTGTTTTAGTTTAAGTGAGAGTTTTACGGCACTTGCAACACAATAAGGTCATATACGTGCTGAAGATTAAAGGTGTTACAAGAGAGTAATAAACACAAAAAAGAAGGATGGGAGATAAGGACGATGGATGTCAGATAGGAAAAAAAAACAAAGAGCAAAACCACACCAGAGCACCCGTCAGCCACCCACCTCAGAGGAGTAGATGTACAGGAGGTTGCCAAAGGCAGCCGAGAATCCACGGATGCAGAACAACACTATGGTGAACACCGACCTCGGCATATCCAGCTGGATTATCAAGACTAAAATGGCTGCCATAAACAGGTTGAAGGCCGCGTTTTTGCGTCTGCCGAGCCAGTCGATCAGCACCATGTTGACTGGTAGACCTGAGAACAAGAAAAAAAAAGGGGAGAATGTGAGTTATGATTTCAAAATGATTTTATTGATTTGAAAGCCCTATGACCCATACAAGGTAGTGTGTGAGCGAGTGTGTGTGTGTGGGGCTGTGTGAGTGTGTGTGTGTGTGTGTGTGTGTGTGTGTGTGTGTGTGTGTGTGTGTGTGAGTGAGTATGCGTTTGTGTGTGAGAGAAGGAGGTGGGGGGATACGATGTGAAAGTGAATCTCATAGACATACTATCCTACACAGATAGAGTAGAAAAAAGGAAACACCTTTTTAGACTCTTTGACTCTTGTTAGTGAAATATCTTCAGTATATGCCACCAACAGTGAAGGAAAAAGTTAATACAACCGAACCTGTTCAAGACAATCACTGGTACAATTAACCACTTCCCCTGTTGCATTTTTTTTCCCATAGTATAGTGACACTCACTGTCCAAGACTTCCACCTGTCTAAGACAACAAGTTTTCTCCCCAACATCAGGTGGCCGTCTTGAACAATTTTGACTGCAGTTTCAATTTAGTCATAAAAATGAAATTTTATAGACATGAACACACAAGTTAAAGTGAAGCCATAATTTCAATACTATTTTAGTATTTAGAAACCAGGGGACTTGTTTCGACTAAATGTTTCAGTTTAAAGAACTAAGTACTTAATTATGTAAATTCCTCAACAGTTATGATGTTAATTATAACTACTTTCCAATAAGGCAAGAAACAAAGTCCAAATAATAACAAAAAAAACCTTGGAAAAAGCTTAATATTTAATCAGAAAAGTGCACTGAGAATACAGCACTAAAGACAAAACTAAACCATCAATGTCAAACAGAGGGCTAAGTTCTGCCGAATTTGGGATATATCTGAGGTGGGGGGCACCATTAGCCCTGTCAGTATCATGCTGGACTACATCCTTGACAACCCTAGTTCAAATCTGTAATTGAGGCATAATATATAACATGGTTTGTTAGAAGAGTTTTCACAGCTCTTCAACTGCTGCGCTCGATTCTATCTTAGTTGCAATCAGACGTCCTGATTGAACTAATCATGCAAAGTTAAAAGAAGCGCTAAATAAATATTATACCATACACAGCTAGTCCTTTCCAGGCATCTAATTCATGATTATTGTATTTATGTACCACAGTCTTATACATTTCTTGAAAAACTCATCAAAAGACAGCATGGGTGTAGATAAGAGTTCCCGAGCATTGTATGTGTGTGAATTTGACTGGGTGCACAAGTTTGTGATGTCAAGATGGAACACAGTTATATCTGTTAAGCAAATACAAAATCTCTTCCATTAGACGTTCAATAAAGTACATCTTACTTTATCTTAAAGCATTTCAGTCAACGTCATGTCCTAAAGAAATAACCAGCATGCAGTCTCAAAACCCACAACTTGAACATGAAAACACAAGAAAATTGATGACATGATTTTGAAAACATGACAAAGTCAACAGCAACAAATGATGTTAATCTGTTGCAAAACATATAAGTCCACACTTCGCCCCATTTCAAACAAATCAATTTTAAGTCAGCACCGCCACCCTTTCACCTAAATAACCAGTGATTACATGCACGGTCTCCAAACACCTGTTCTGAACACAAGTTGAAACCGCAAGAAAATTACTGACAAAACAATAGCTGTTATTTTTTCATGCCAGAAAACTGCACCAGAGAAGAGAGAAGGAGAAACAAAGCAAATGGAGTCCTGAAAGTCCCTCATGTGCACAGAAAAGGCAAAAATATAGTCCCCAAGTTGCTGGCAGGAGGTGTTGGTGGGAGGAGGGCTGACGTTTATGGGAGATGGTGGGGAGGGGGGGGGTGGATTGGGGAGATGTGGAGAAAAGGAAAGAAACATTATAACAATATGTGTATTGGGAATGTCATTAATTACTCATTAAAGCTGGCCAGAAAAAAATATGTTTTACCCTATCCGTACGCCTTGAGTCATTTTGTACCCCAAGGGTTGTATTCTTCACATTTTAGAATACTTCTAGTGCGAAGATCTCTTTGAAACTTTCAGTATTTCTCAAAAAATCCTTTTGAAAGACTGCTATGCAAAGCGTACGGATCGGATTAACGAGTAAATTTTGTCTTTGAAAAGTGGGGGACACAGAGTTCCCCACGTCATATGGATACGATAATAAAACACAATGTAAGGATAGGGTTAAAGCACTTCCTTAAATTTTGATAAAGTGGTCGCCACCTGTAGATATACTGTTAATGTGTTCCACAGGGAGGGAGTGTGGTGTGAAAATGTACTATCACCCAGTCTGACTTTTACTCTGGACAGGTTTAAATAGTCTTTTTGTGGCCAATTTTAAAGGCCTAAGTGCAATACTGTGACATCAGTACTGTTTACACAAAAAACAACAAAAGTTCCACCAAATTTCGGACCAACGACATGACATATTAGAATAATTTTTTTTTTTTAATAAACAAACAAAAAAATACTCCACAACATACAAGTTAATGTTAAAGAATCTAAAAGTAAAAGGCAATAAGGGGACACACTGTGTTTTACTTGACAAGCAGAAGGGGAGGGGTACATTTGTGCGACTCGATCGGTCTATGGCATGAGGAGCATAGCTTTTTAAATTTGAGTAAAGAGAAGCACATCGACACAATACGTCAAGAAGTGCTGGGAAAAAGCAAGAAAGATAAAAATGGAGGAGTGGGAACAAAGTTATCAGTTATGACATAACAGTGGCACATTTCAGCCCGCCACATCAAATAAACTACTCTACCTTAAAGGTGAAACTTTTCATCAGTCACCAAAGTGGAGAATGACACCAACAAACTGACCAGGATTAAACCAAAAGAAGCCGTCAGAGGGTCAAAATAAATTTTCACAACCACACAGAATCACAAAACAATTACATGATCCACCAGGTCCTTCAGAAGAAGGGTGGAGTTTCAGCTGAAGAAAATTGTATGCATGATATTATGAAATATGTGTCACTACATAACCTGTCAAAATTTTTTTTATTGTGAAGCACCTAGATCTAGAGTCACCAGGTTAATTAGTTAGTGTAAAGAGAAGTATTTTTTTCGTTTAGTAAGTGTTTTATGGCACTTGCAACACAATAAGGTTATATAAGTGCCGAAAATTAGAGGAGTTACAAGAGAGTAACAAACACAAACCCACAAAAAAGCAGGAGGAGAGGTGAGGACGATGGATGTTTGATAGGAAAGAACAAACAAACCAAACCAGAGCATCCGCCAACCACCTACAAAGAGAAGTTTATCGACACAATAACAGTCATTTAGTGGTGGGGAAAAGTAAGACAGACAGACAGACAAAACCAATAGAGATAGAAAAAGAAAAGAAGTAGGACTTAACAGTAGCACCCTTCAACCACCTACGAGCCGCTAAGGAGTGGGCACTATAGAAAATGTTTTTATTATTATTAAAACTATTATCCTTATTATAGATACAGCACTGGCTGTTATACTACGGGGCAGTGCATGGGCTAGAGGGCTGCATATAAGACAAAATTGAAATGTCACGTATTTGTTTCCATTATTTGAATAAACAGAAGCACATTGGCACAATGTTTATTTAGAGTTGAGAAAAAGAAAAGAATTAGGGCGTTCCAGTAGCGCCTTCCAACCTCCTACAGAATCTAGACTAGGTCAAGTCCATGTGGACAGAGAGTACATCAGACAAAAGCAATTTTCCCTGCAAGAACAGATTAACCCCCCTTTACTGCCCTGCTCAACGCTCTATAAGCTCTTCAACGAGACTTTAAAGGAGGTTTGGCGGTTAAGGGGTTAAGATAGCAGCAACACACGAAGAAAAAGCAAAAGCTGCACATAGCACCAGAGTAAACGAAATAAGTGGGGCAACCTTAACCCACCCATCAAAGATGAGGTAGGGAAATTATCAAAGGAGGGGCAAAGGAGGGGAAAGACAGGAGGAGATTTAGATAAACTCTAAACAAAAAGCCCACATAGAAACACATAACATAAACATACACTTGATCAATCAAGTGCCTAAACACAAACCCCCACACACACCCACCATAATACACAGAACAATACATACAAAATGTAAGAAGTACAAATGCTATTATCTATAAATAAAAAAGAGGAAACAAATTAAATGTTAAAACAGGTCACCATAACAAATGCACACTACATACACAAGCTCTCCTTTCGTAAGAGTTTTACAGCACTTGCAACACAATAAGGTCAAATAAGTTCCGAAGATTAGAGGTGTTACGAGGGAGTAACAAACACAAAAAAAGGAGAAGGAGAGATAAGGACAATAGACGTTTGAAAGGAAAGAAGGAGCAAACCACATCAGAGCACCCTCCAACCACCCACCTAAGCTCTCCTATCAGACATCACTCAGAGATACTCACAGATAAACTCTCCCATGGTGGACAGCAGCATAGTGGTGTAGTCCTTGCCAGTCAGGAAGTTACAGTGACACTTCTGACCCTCTGGAAAACAGTCATGTTTCATCATCATCATCATCATCATCATCATTGTATACAGCAGAGAATACAATAAGGTTGAGAATTGGTAAAATTTTCAAAAATATTTTATAATATTTTAACGTCGTCATCATCATCATCATCATTGTATACAGCAGAGAATACAAAAAGGTTGAGAATTGGTAAAATTTTCAAAAATATTTTATATTTTAACGTCGTCATCATCATCATCATCATCATCATTGTATACAGCAGAGAATAAAAAAAGGTTGAGAATTGGTAAAATTTCCAAAAATATTTTATATTTTAACGTCATCATCATCATCATCATAATCCCCATCATAATCATCATCATCATTGCCTTTCTTATCCTGCATCAGGCCACAAACAATAACAAACATTTTCCACCGTTCCCTATCCTGGGCTTGCCTCTTGATTTTTTCTCCACGTCTTCCCACTTTTCTATACAAGTTGCGTTTGCATGTTGTGATAAACAAACAATAAGCCATCAACAGATGTATATGTGGCACGACGTGGTGGAATCAGGCTCTCGTCAAAATAATGAAAGTGAAGAAATTTTCATTTTTCCGCAGGTTTGATAATGTTTATCAGATTTATGTTTTTTGGCCAAACACCTTTCGTGCCCATTAAAGAACTCATTTCTGTGTGGATTTTTCTGAAAAACATTGATTAAAGGCACAAAAAATGTAAATTTTCGGTTACCACGGACTCTTAAGCTAAGGAAATAACTAATCTTTGGCGGCCATTTTCTCACTAATTTTACATCTGAAAACAGGTGACCCCCATCTACTTCTTTTGCAAATATCTCGACTTGTATTCAAGATAACTGAATACTTTTTTTCATCCAAATAAAGACAAAGTGAACAAGCTTTAAGATGATACCAATAACTCAACATGCCCCAAAATTGACGAGAGCCTGATTCCACCGCGCTGCCTCACATATAACTTTTAGAGTGATATTATTATCTCTTGCACAGCTTAAGGGGCAGCCAGATCTAGATACCCAATGACATCCAATAAATATCCCCCGACTGGAATCAAACTACAGTCGAACCTGTCCAAAACAACAAGGAGAAAACTGCCATACGCTGACAATACGCCACCTTCTTCTTATTCACAGCACTTTCCAGATAAAAAGGTGTTTTGTCAGCATAACCATTTACATAAGGAGTTCTGCCAAAATTTCAATGCTAATTTATTTTTAACAACTAGTCACAGTTTCACTTTGCTTTTTTCCACACAACTAGGGTAACTGATCATGCTATTGGTTTGGCAAATTCAAAAAATGTTGGACCAAATTTGAAAAAAGGCTTTTTGTCAGCTTAGTACAAAAAAGTGATAATCTCAGACAGGTGGTCCTCTAGGACAGAGTCATTATAGTACAGAAAAGACACAAGGGGGGATGTAAGAAGTGGTCATTTGTTGAGGCTGTTGTCTTAAACACACATGCATGCTCACTTACACGTATGCATATGCACACACACACACATACGTAATCATGTGCATACGACACATACATGCACCCATGCACGCACAGTCACACACACGCATACACACACAAACACACACGGATGAACCCACCCACACATACACAAACATGCAAGCGCGCACACACACACGCATGCACCCACACACACACCCACATACACACACACACATATACACAGTATTAGATGGGTCAAGACTCACTGTTGCCATCCGGGCTGTACTTGCGGAGGATTTCTGCACTAGCAAGCACCATTCCGTAGTAGAAAAACGCCATGGTAAACCACAGTACCCACAGCTGTAAAGTGGTGCGCTTGTACTCAGGGCTAAACAGATTGGAGAACTTGCCTCGCTCTACCTGAAAACGGGAAGAATATTCCCGAAAATGCACACAATACAGTTGGCAAGAAAAAAGAAAAAGAAATCTGGCTTGAAATCAAAACAATTCAGGCAGGCAAAGTCTAGTTTTAGGAAGCATTTACGGCACTTGCAACACAATAACGTTAGATAAGTGCCAAATATTATAGGTGTCGCAAGCAAGTAACAAACACAAAAAAGATGGAGGGGAGATAAGGACGACAGATGTTCAATAGAAAAGAAGGAGCAAACCACACCAGAGCACCCACAAATCACCCACTGGCAGGCAGAGTGGGAAGAGATAGAGTATTTGAGAGTACTCTATTGCAGAGAGGTCTAAGAAGCAACGTCCAACTACTGGAAAAGGTTAGCCCTATTTGTACGTCGTGTTTTACTATCATATTCATACGACGTGGGGAACTCTGTGCCACCCCTTTCCAAAGAGGAAATTTGCTCATTAATCCGATCCGTACGCTTTGCACAGCAGTCTGTCAAAATTATTTTTTAGAAATACTGAAAGTTTCAAAGAGACCTTCATACTAGTAGTACTCTAAAATGTGAAGAATACAACCCCGGGGGTACAAAATGACCCCAGGATGTACGGATCGAGTTAAAAAGAAGAAAAAGAAACAAGTGTCTCTGAAAACAAGTGAAAATGAGAAATACACGACATTAACAATAACGATACAATAGATATAAAACAAGATCGAAAAACAAGGTTTGCTATTCAGTAAAATGTAAGATATCAAAACAAACGGAAATACTTGTCTTGCTCCTTTCATGGCAAAACCCATTCCTAAACTTTTGGACTCTTGATTCTATCCTGATCGTGTGAGAAAGGAGTAAAGTGAACCACATTGGTAAAAACCATGTAGAAAAGGGGGAAAAAAGATAATAACATCAGAAGGAAAGACAAGATGTTAGACCAACACAGTTACAGTCCCAACCACCCAAACTGCTTTCTCCCCCTTCCCCACTCTCCCCTTTCCTCCCTCTCCCCCTTCCCCATGTGATAAGAACACACCAGAAAATTAAAGTCTTTACACTAACCTCAGCAGATCGGACCAACTGACCATCAGGTAGCCGTGACTTATTCACTCGAGCAGCTTTTTCCAGAAGACTAATCGCTTCATCACGCTTCCCAGCAGCCAATAAGAACCGGGCGGACTCAGGGACAAACTAAATCAAAAAACCAAAAAAAAGTGGGGGGGGGTAACAAATGTATACAAACAATCAAAGTTCAAATTCTATTGTCTAGTTTTTTTGTCCATAAAGTCACCATGTCATGTGTTAGTTGTCTGGTGAAAGAGGGAGTAAATGTTTGAGTAAGAAGGGGAGAGTGAATAAAAATCCACTATTACAATAAACAGGTATACGAAACTAAAAATGCAAATCAATACATGTATAAATCTGCCGTCGTAAGGGAAAACGACGATTGGTCAAAATTTTTCGATTTTTGTTATTTTTACATATTTCATAGAGTATTTAATTCTGCATCTGATGGTGTAAAATTTTTTGTCATATCCTAATCCGTTGTTGTGTAATTGAGAGTTCGTTGTTTTCCCGTACACAGGCGAGCTCCTAGCCAGAGCTCAGTGTAAGGGAGAACGACGAATGGTTGATCGGTCAAGGATCACTGCTCGTTCGGCGTTGTCCCCTGGTCTCTGTCGTTGGGCAAATTCGGCATGGGCGACGAATGACAACTTATCACTGTTGCGTCAGTACAAATGTACTAGGCCTTTTTAACAAACAAACACACCACCACCCCCTCCCCCGGAGTACCGTCCACCAGGTTTATAAAAATGTATCTCTTAGTGTGTCTTTCTGTCTGTCTTCCCGTATTAGGCCTAAGCTGATGGTGTGAATTGACAAGAGCAGGCAGGAGAGAGGGGAAAACGGATGGGAACAGGGGGAAAGGGGTGGGGATGGAAGGGTCCAAAAAGTATTTAGGGAGAAATTTTTTAGCACTGCATATTAGTGTCCGCCAGATGTTCACAGACTAGCGTCATATTAGTTTACTGTCCAGTCATTTGACATCCCAAATCCCAACGATGGTTATAGTGCCGCAATTTGTCTAGCACGTGTCACTGGTCGACATCATTATAGAATTACCAACCAATTAATGACACTGCATTATGAGAGTAAATTTCTTTGTCCAACTTAAAACGTGGACGTATTGTGGAGACACTTAGTCTTGCTTTACGATTGTTTATGACTTGATAGGCGTTACGATCGAGTATAATAATGTCTTGCAGATTCAAACTGTTCTTGTCGATCTCTACTTTGTGGTATGTTTTCCGATCCGATCAACTGCATCCTTTATTAAATACAAAGCGTTGCATTACCTCTCCCGAAAGCGTTTGTGATACAGTCTTGTCAGATTGTTACATTTCTTACGTGAAAGTTTGACTGCAATGATCTGATCGTATTATTGACATTGTAACAATGTTGATCCCTTTGGTCGTGCAGGGAAAAATTTGCAATTAGCGAAAATAAAAGTAAAACTCGCTTCTGAAGAGAGTACAGTAAGAGATATCATGGAAACCAAACTTTGGTTTCGAATGAGACAGTTTTAAATCAAGCTGTTGAAATTGAGTGCAAATCTGATTTGTACCCTGACTGTGTAGTATTTAACCAAGCGCGGAAGGGAAACGAAGGACGTTTACCGAGTTACAGTTGGAATATAACTAAAATCTAACTTTATACGTATAATAGCTAGTTTGTATGTGTCTTATTTTTTATTTGTAGTAACCAGTATACAGTCATTGCTGTCAATAAAGCGTCACAACTGACCATCGCTTATGCCCAAAAACGTTCACGAGTGTAAGGGAGAACGACGAACCGTACCCTTCGTCGTTTTCGCTTACATCGCAAGGCTCACCTGTGGGTGCGCAGTGTAAGGGAGAACGACGAATGTCGAATAACTTTGCTACTACTTTTTAACCTAAACCATTCAAACTTTAGAAACTGCTTTATGAACATCTCAATCAGATATCTGGTGAATTACAGCTTAAAAGAGTGGAAAATAAAAGAGTTATAAAGTGAAAACTGTTTTTGCCTCTCCTGAAAAATTTGCCTCGCTACCTGCTCAGGACCATTCGGCGTTTTCCCTTACGACGGCAGAAATACTAAGCTGTACACAAAAAGCATGATTTGGTTGACAACTCACAACATGAATAAGAATGAGTCTACTTATCAGACAAAAGTGAAATAAAAATGCTCTGTGGTTACAAAAAGAATGTCATCACATTACAAAATCAATCAGGGGGGCATGGCTGAAAAACAGCAGTAAAGGGCTAGAAGTAACAGTAGAAGGAGTCACGACACAAGGTGAGAGAAGTCAAGAAGAAGCCAGAGGTGGGGGAGGGTGGGGGAGTGGAGATGAAAGTAGACGACAGAATAGGACTACAAAACAGGAAAGGAGGTGAAGGGACAAACTTTTAGAGAAGTAAATTTTTACACCGGAGTCAGATTTCGAAGCTGGGACCTTTTGAACGAGGGCTGGACACAGCACCCTAAGACCACAAAAGCCCCCTCCCCCCAACAGTCACCTCACAGTACAACTCACAGTACAGCTCCCAGAGGTAGGAGCAGCTATGATAAAGCAGATGAATCATTGCTTGCATCAAGAATCAAGCCATAATTTCAAAAAATTGAAGCTTCTTCAAAAGGGTCAAATTAAGGGTAAAACTAGATGTATAGCTAAAGGGATTCTTTATCGATTTATTGTTTTTGCCAAACACAGCTATCAGATATTTCTGAGTATCATTTTGTATTACGTCCAACGGATGAAGAATATCTCTTTATGTCTCTTGACATAGAGTGTCTCTTTGGTCAGGTTATGCCAAAAGCCATAGAGTCCAACATCTACGAACTAAGCAAAAGTCTCACCAGCAGCCCCATTGCGGACAAGAGAGAAGGCACAGCCGAGAACACCAACAACCAGCGCCAGCCGATGGTGGGGATGATAACGGCAGCAAGAAAAATCTCAAACATGATACCTGTCGCCCAGAACACCTAATGGAAATACAAGAATACATTTGAAAAACTGCAATGGAAAAAACAATCAAAGTCACACTCTCGAAATTTATTGAATTATTGTCATTATCATGTACTAGATTCCGTACTTAACTCTCAAAAAGTGTAAAACCGAACAACAGGCTTAGTCCTGATTTTTTGTTTTGTTTTTGTAAAGTGTTTTACGGCGCTCACAACTGCATAGGTCATATGAGCGCGCGGGACACACCTAATATTTTCAGTTGGTAGGAAATTTCGAATTTTGCCTGGGTGGCGGCCGAAGCCTACTCTTATCGATTTTAGACCACCAAGGGATCTTTAATGTGCGCAACTTGCACACGGGCCCTCCGAGATTTTTCGCCCTTGTCTGAGAAGGCTAGGTAAAGATCTTTCCTACCAGAAGATCAGGGGTGTGGCAGAAAGACAGCAGTAAGGAGGAGCCAAGGAGTAGCAGTAGAAAGGCTGCAGAAAGAGTCAGGAGCCCAGAGGAGGAGGCAAAGGAGGTGAGAGGGTGGGGGCAGAAAGTGGAAATGAAAGCAGACAACAGAACATTGCTAGAGAGCAGGAAAGGAGGTGAAAGGAGACAATTTTAGAGAAGAAAATTTTTCGGTCGCTACCCGGATTCGAACCCGGGACCTTTGAATGAGAGGCCAACACCTTAACCTCTAGGCCACGAGAGCCCCCTCAGTCCTGAGATAAATAGACAATGGTAAAATATACAAGAGGGACAAAAGAAGGTCGCCTCAGAAATGATCTAGTCAAGAGATAGGGCTAAATACCTGTCCAAATATGAGTGTCTTTGCTCTGTATTTCCTTGGTATATACTCGGACAGGAGAGAGGTCCTGTAAGGAAAAGCAAAATAAAACCAAATAAAACGATAATATTCAAGAGAAAAATAGAATAGACGGCATAAAAGCATTTTGTTTGTTTCTGCAAAGAGAAACACATTGTTATTATGATAAGTCACTTGATGCAGGGAAAAAGAGCAAGTCAGATGGACATTAACAAAACAGGGAAAGAAAAGAAGTAACTACGACCAACCAGAGGTTCCCCATAAACATGCACTTACAGCACTTTAAGGAGTACAAAATATTGTCTTGTTACTGATTGTTCTTAATGTTTTATGGCCCCACCAACACAATAAGGACTTTTTTGTTTTGTTTCTGCTAAGTAAGTTAATGGCAATCTTGCTTTTGTAAAGTTACCTTAAATGCCTAGCTGCTACATTCATCAATGAGAAAGGGTGAAAGAGAGAGCTTGAGTGAAAAAAAGCAAATCAGCACAATAACGGTCACTTAGTGCTGGTAAAAAATTAAAAAGCAACCTGCGTGGAAAAGCCAGAAGAATCGATCAGGAAGCAGACCCTTTCATGGATCCTGGAGAGGAGGAAAGAGCAGGTATGACATTGTGCCACCTGCAATGATGCCTATTCTCCAACCAAGTAAGTAAGTAACATGAACAGACAGATATGAGGGCTGAATAAAAAGTCTTGCCTCCTAGATGAAATTAATTGCAAAAATCATCACACCAAGAACAAAAACTTTTTTACCAAATGAAAATTTAGCATGTTTGCTATAAAATTCTACTTTTATTTTTCCCCATAATCACCATCTGTCAATACAGATTGACCAACAAACAATAAGTCTCTGAATCACATTGGAGAAAAATTTATGCATTTTTCCTTTGAATAACCTATTCACATTAGCTTCAATTTCTTCATCCTCATTCACTGGTCTCCCTTCAAGTAGTTTCCAGTGCATTGTGCCGGAGGTGAATCATTACAAACAAAAAAACAAGAGATAATCCATATAATTCAGACATTCAGGTTCACCAAGTCCTAAAAAGTTCAAATTGCATGTTTCCATTGCGGAGCTGCTCTTGGTCGTGCTTTGGGTTTATGCAGAAAGAATACACATGAGATATCTCGACCCAACTTGTTCTTACAAGAGCCAAAAGATGTAATTGAGGCAACTCACATTTCATGAAGTTTAGCCATATCCTTCCTATAGTCCACTACTTGCCTCGTCAGATTTTTTTTCTATTTCTGATGCTTAAAGAACATTTTAAGAGAAATCAGTATAATGGTGATGCAGAAACCAAAGCTGATGTACTTAGGTGGTGCAAAGGAAAACGGCTTGAATTTAGTCATTTTTACAGCACTTGCAACACAAATACGTCATGTAAGAGCCAAAAGATTAGAGGTATTATTAAACAGTAGCCTACAAAGAAAACAATGAGGAGAAATAAGGATATAGATGTATGATAAGTAAGAAGGAGCAAACCACACCAGAGCACCCACCAACTACCCACAAAACAATTTTATAATTTGAAAGGCGACCAGTCTCATTCATTCTGCCTGGACAACATCTATAGCTTGTTCACTTTCGTCTGACCGTGGGTAAAACAAGATAAAAATGAAATCGCTCTGTTCAATCTTCTCAGATCTTTGCATACAGGTCTAAAAGTTAGATGACCAACAGAATCGAAAAGCTTATTCATAAAGGTCACTGCAAACTAAGGTTCCGACATGTTTTCTTTGATGTAAGCCTACAGCAAATTAAAAAAACAATAGCAGATTTACAGCATACACCTAATACGTTTAAAAGCTGACACATTTTCCTCAACACCATTCTTTCATGTTCGTCTAAGAAACACAATTCAAGAAAGACAGGGTGAGTCTTTTCTAAACTCACATGGAACACTTGGAGACATCTAGACAGCCGAGGGATGAAATTGACAAGCTTACACTGAAATGTGGGGGCAGGGCGGTGTCCCTGTCTAAAAAATGAGCAATTTGAAGGCATGGCTACAGTAAGTCATTTATTTAAGTGATCCTGTGTATGAATCCAAAGAGTGGCTTTTAGTATAGGGCCCAAAGAGAAAAACTTTTTTATTACTGGGTCAAGATTTTTTAAAAATATATTTTTGTTTGGTCACTGGCCTGCAGAAATGCCATGCAAAGTTTCGTAGGCATAAGTAAATTCCTCAACAAGCTAGAAGTTTTTTCACGCAGTCAGACAAACGTAAACAAGCTATAACAGCATACACTCACCCTTGTGGAGAACCACCCATGCCCACGCCCACCAGACCCCGCAGTATCAACACCCAGTAGTAGGTGGGGCTCAGGGACGTGAGCAGGCCAAAGTAGCCTATGCACAGGGTCACCAGCATCAGGGTCTGCAGAGATAAAAAGAACAACAAACTGTTTGGTTTTTTTGGAGGGGGGAGGTTAGTAAGAATTTTACAGCATTTGCAAGCACAATTACATCATGTAAGTGCCAAAAATTAGATTTGTTTTTGTAAGAGTTTTACGGTTTTACGGCACTTGCAACACAATAAGGTCATCCTATAAGTGCCGAAGAATAGAGGTGTTACAAGAGAGTGACAAACACAAAAAAGAAGGAGGGGAGATAAAAAAGATAGATTTTTTATTTAAAAAAAGAAGCATACCACACCAGAGCACCCGCCAATCACCCGCACAAAAATTAGAGGTGTTATATGAGAGTAACAAACACAAAAAAAAGGAGGAGAGATAAGGATGATAGACGTTTGATTGAAACGAAGGAAAAAACCAAACCTGAGCACCCGCCAACCATCCACCCAAACAGATTTGAAAACACTGTAACCAGTACCCAACAGGCCTCAAAAAAGGTGGCAAGGGAACACAGATGTCACACTGAGCAAAGAGCAGCACATCGACACACTAACGGGCAATAAGGGCAGGGATGCAGCAGAACAGACAGAGAAAAACAAGAGGGACAGTAGAGAAGAAAGAGGACCTACATTTCAAACCCTCCAACCACCCACTACGACATCTCTAATTTTCCAAGATGTATCTACATTTTGGGGTATAGAAAAAGCAAATATGAATAAAAATGAAAATACACAACTCGGTTTCTACAAAGTAAAATTAATTCTAATTCATCAAACCATGATGATAAATAAAGTTCACTCACAAATTTACGGCCATATTTATCTCCGATGTACCCCAACAGAGGGGCAGACAAGCCCATTCCTACAAACACAACCTGAAAGGAAAAGAAGTTTTGACTCAGTAAACAGCCACATACACAGCTCAAAACAAAGTGTACAAATGGCACCTTGAGAAGTGGCAAAAAGCCCTGTCATTTACACTGATTTGATAATCATCATAAATTCTTTCATACAATATCCAGAACATGAAGGATATTCTAGGCAAAAGTAGCAGTGAGACCAAGAAGTCTCACTTCCACAACGCACATCCATTACAGTTCAGTTTTGGTATAGTTTGAGTAAAAAAAGAAGCAGTACAAAGCAACCTAATACTGGTCATTTAGAGCTAGAAAAAAGCCATATCTTGAGAAACATAGGGTGAACAAAATAATATACACAGGTGAAACTGTCTAAATCTACTTCCCATTTTCAGGGAGAAAGGTGGTCACCTTAGACAGGTGGTCCTCTTGGACAGTGTCATCTATAGATATATTTACTATATTTGTAAAAGTTGTCACTTTGGTCGCCTTTTGAATTTGAAAAAATTAACGGTGGCTCAGAATCATTTAAAGGATGCACAGTTATACTAAGCAGTCTGAAGTAACTGTAGTTTAATTTTCATTTTTTCATTAGTTTCGTTTAGATCTAATCTTGGGAAAGTCCGTCTTCTAAGACGCCATTGTAAACAAGTGAGGCTTCCATTCACATGCAGTGCGCACTGATCCCACAATGATTCGACGATCCATTCTGCAGAGTCCGTTCATTGAAAGGGGTACCCAGCAAGTTATAACATAACAGAAAAAATATTTTAGAACGCAAAGGGGGGGGAGGGGGGGAAGACATGAAGACATGGTAAGTCAATAGACTTAAGCACGTGCCTGAGCATGCCTCTCCTCTATTGTTCTGCTCCACAGCAAACATGTAGCTTAACCTGTAGTGATCTTAACTTACCAGTCTACCCAAGAGAGCTCAAGTGTACAGCTCCTGTACTTTCACTGCAGTCATGGCTCAAAGAGGGCTGTTTTGTTTTTTTAAATTTAAATACACAAGTTTTACGGCACTTGCAACACAGGTCGCATAGTGCCAAAGACTAGAGGTGCTACTAGGGAGTGACATACAAATAAAATGAGTGATAAGGATGGTAGATGTTTGATACAAATGAATGAGCTACCACACCTGAACATGCACCAACAAAGGGTTTAAGTATATAAGCAAGGTGGAGCACAAATAAAAGGGTTAAAAACAAATCATTAAAGAGTTTTTCCATAACGGTTTCACAAGACCTGAGGTTGTGTTTGTTTTAATAAGAGTTTTACGGCACTTGCAACGCAATTAGATTATATAAAAGCCAAAGATTAGAGGTGCTACAAGTGAGACACAAATACAAAAAAGAAGGAAGAGAGATATGCATGATGTATGTTTGATAGGACAGAAGGAGCAAACCATACCAGAGCACTCGTCAACCACCAACCTCATGCTATAGACATGGTATGCGTACACTGTACAGTGACATCAAAATCAGAGAGAAGACACATCCACAACAACTAACCTTTCAGTTACCCTGACAGAAACAACATCTGGAATGTTCACCTGTAAAACTGAAAGGCCTGGGACTAAAACTCGGTCTACACCTGAAAGAATTTGTATCCACGTGGCAGACAAACGGGTAAGCTAAAACAGGAAAAATACTGACCGTGGTGACTAGCGCTACTTCAGCGTCAGTGAGAGACCACTCGCACCGCACAACAGGGGACATTACTGCCAACAGCATCATCTCCAAGGCATCAGTCGCCTGAAAGCAAAGGTGATGATTGAATTCTAACACTCCAGTACTGAAAACAAACATTATACAATTCTAACAACATTTTTGCATGATAAAGAAACATCATAACAAAATTTTAACAATACTTTGACAGGATAAAGAAACATCACTACAAAATTTTAACAACACTTTGGTTCAGAAAAAAAACATATTATCATAAAGTCATAACAACACTTGACAAACAAACATAATTACACAAGATTGATTTTTTTTTTATGGTTCAGATTCTCTTTTTTTTTAATATAGTAGAGCGTTTTACGGTGCTCGCAACTGCATAAGGTCATATGAGCGCCAAGGGGTGGGTGTCAACAGAGAAGTCCTTACAGGGAATTAGACTTACTCTGCTCACCTCTCTAGTTTCAACAGCACAAAGTCTGCTTCGACCATCAAGGCACCCCGGAAATAGCAGGTCACAAGAGTGACAAACATACAAAAGAAGTAGAGGAAAATGACAATAGTAAGGATTAGGAAAGAAAAAGCAGCAGTTCCCTGTTGCAGATCAGGTACCGTTATGAGCGTGACATGATGACTCAGCCGATTTACAATTCTACTGTGCTTGAATGAGAAATGTCCCCCCTTTGGGAGTGGCCTAAAGACACTATAGTCAGTGGCACCGCCCAGGGAGGTTCAGTATCTCTAAGATGTGACAATATGACAAATTAATAATGGTACCAAGTCCTCCCCTTCCAAATCCACAGCCAATTAATTCCTAGCATAGCCCCAGCCACCTCCCTTCCATCCTGCACACTCACACTGATGACTCCGCACACAACATAGAGGCGTATCTGAAACCAGCCAAAGCCTATGGCCTCCACGGCCTCTTCCACCGTGTAGACAGGCTGATGACCTCGGTCATTCGTCTTGTCCTTGACCTTGTCACTGATCTCATACAAAGTGTCATCTTCAGTGTCGCTGCTCTCCAGCACAAGTGGGATATCCTCATCTGAGGAAAAAACAAAACAACACTACTGTTATTGAAATGCAGTCAAATTTGTCCAAGATGCACCCCTCACCCCCCAATCGAAGAGAAAGTAGAAAGTGGTGAACTTAAGACAGGTAGATACCTTGAACAGTGTCATTATAATATAGGGAAAAAAATCAAGAGAGGAAGTGGGAAGTAGTTGTCTGTACAGGTGATGGTCTGGGACAGGTGGCAACTAAAGCAGGTTCAACTGTACTTCCCTCATCGACACACTTGTGAGGCATCGTGGTGAAATCAGGCGCTCGTCAAAATGATTCATTCAATGTAAACAAAGAAACCAGCATTATTTTGGCCACTGAGCCATTTTCTTCAAATTTTCTTTTTTTGGCTCAACACCTTCTATGTCCATTTAAGAACACACTTCCATGTGAATTTTATTGAAAAATGTTGATTAAAGGCACAAAGACAGGTAAACTTTCAGTTTCCAAGGATACTAAAGCTTTGGAAGTCACCAAATTTTGGTGGCCATTTTCTCATTAATTTTACTTGACACCAGGCAATCTCCTTCAATGTCAATTATTTTGACTTCTATTTAAGACAGATGGGTTTGTTTTTTTCTTCAAATGCAAGGCAAATTAACAAGCTTTAAAATGATACTAATAACTTCACATGCCCAAAAACTGACAAGCCCCTGATTCCACTGCGTCGTGACACAATTGGACTATCTTGGGAGGCCCTCTGATTTGACCCTGACTGTCAAGATTAACCATTGACAGGTTTCACCACACAGAGTAAGTTGCTCCATTATCAGATTTTAAAGACTCCAAAGAACTCATTGTAAGGTCGAGTCTTTTATGTATGCCAAGGCTGGCACTATTGTTCACCTACAGTCATAAATTTATCTTTTTAAAAGACCACTGTCATTATGTAATCCGTAACATTTATATCAAGCACTTGCCAATGATATTTCAAAACTGAGTTCTTTCTGAATGTCTTAATTTCTACATTGTTCGAAGAACACGTGGTAAAATCTTATGCATTTATTAATGGAGAGAAAAAAAAAATTCAAAACCCAGAAGATTAGATTAGGCATTAAATCAATTAGAACCCCATTTTGCCAAGAATTGACACATAAGTTTGGACAAAGCTTTAAAAGCACACAATCATCATCTTTCAAAATAAGCGCATAAAAAGTCATAAAAGTTATTAAATTTGGGCTTTAATTTTCCACACACAAAATATTCAAGGAAGCAATTTCAAGTAAAGGTAGATCAAACTCGAAATACACCATCCACAGCTACTTTGGGCTCCAAACCATAGAAAGATCCGCGACACACCAGACATTGAGTAAATATAGATCACACTTATATATATAAATCAACAAGCAAAACAAAAACCCAATAAAAAAGATTCTCTTTGTTTTACCTTCTGAGTGTGGCACACGCTTGTACACAGTTTGAGAGAGGCCAGTGCGGCTAGCAAAAGCCATAAGTACGTCTTCTCCCAAGCCTCTTTTCCTCTACTGGCCAATCAGTCTGAGACAAAGAAATCAAAGACACTCTCATTTTTTTATGTTTTTTGGGGGGAGGGGGGGAGTGTTTTACAACGCTAGCCACTGGATAGGGTCATTGAGTGCGTGGGACACATTAAACATTTTCACTTGGTATGAAATTTTTTATATTGCTAAGGTGACAGCCGAAGCATACTCTTATCGATTTTGGACAACCAAGGGATCTTTAACATGAGCAACTTATAAATGGGACCTCCAAGATTTTTTGCCCTTATCCAGGAAGGCTAGGTGTTAGATTTTACCTACCATTACATCAGGGGAGTAGTAGTAGAAAGGCTGCAGAAAGAGTCAGGAGCCCAGAGGAGGGGGCAAAGGAGATGAGGGGTGGGGGCAGAAAGTGGAGATGAAAGCAGACGACAGAACATTGTAAGAGAGCAGGAAAGGAGTTGAAAAAAGGAATTTTTTCAAAAAGAAAAGTTGCTTTCCGGATTCGAATCTGAGACCTTATTGCATGAGAGGCAAATACTGCAACCTCTCAACCATGAGAGCCCCCAGCCACTCTTATGAGAAACATCATATCATATACAAAGGCGACTATTCCTTCAACGTGGGAGGGCACGCTAACATAATAGCACAGTATTAACATAATTGAATAACTTCAACTATTAGTTTAGTTCAACTTGCGATAAATATAACAAATACAAGCTTAGTCATTCATCTGAAAGAGTGTTGTATAATTATTAACAGTAGTAGGCATACAACTACAACCTGCTTGCCAATGTAACCATCAAGTTTAAGGCCTACATCGATCATATCTAATAATAGTTGATAAACAAAACTAAAAATACAGAACTTCAAATATCTTACACACATGTCTAGTTACCCTCAAATCACCTCAGTGCACCTGCAATAACATCACTCAACCAAGCTACATGTATAATTTATTAACGCTCAATTTAATACAAAATAAAGAAGAATTGTTACAATTATTGTAAAAAACCATACGCCCATCAACACCATTTAGAGAATTTATGAGGTGGGCTGCTTTGAATGACCCCACTTGTAAGTAGTGGTGGGCGGTACTGGCGAAATTCAGTGTCGGTACTTTCTCAGCACCAGGTGCCGAGAACCGCCAGTACCGGTACCGGTACTGGTACTGGGAGTGACTCCAGTAGTTGACGTCACAGAGACTTCGCGTCTTGCGTCTAACGCCACGATCAACAACAAAAAAGAGATAACAGCACCCTTGGAGGTGTGATCGCATGCATGAACGTGGATAACCTTTGAAGGTTGTTGTTGTTTTTTTTAGTAAAGTATGATTTTATATACGTATTTTATATGTATATATTATATATATGTATATATATGTATTACACCAATCACTCATAGAAATGTACTCATTTACGCTATATAAGAATACTTTTCTCATTCACTCTATTTCTCTCTATATATATTATCTTTGCGTTCAGTGCCTCATATATATATCCTAAAGGCTACATTTAACCCTCATTCACCCTATACATGTATATGTAGCCTACACATCTCATTCTCTCTCTCTCTCTCTCTCTCTCTGTCTCTCTCTCTCTCTCTCTCTGTCTCTCTCTCTCTCTCTCTCTCTCTCTCTCTCTCTCTCTCTCTCTCTCTCTCATGTAAAATTTTCATCACGTTTTCTCTCCCCTTCTCTCACATTATTGTAATTCTCACTCTAGGCCTATATGTTTCTAAATTCTATTTTTATATGGCAAGCACTATTTGCAACGCCGCGTTCTGGATAGCTCCCGTGCTATTTGAAACGCCAGTACTAGATCTAGATCTAGATGTAGTAGCCATCGTCTCTACATGATATTATTGTAATTCTGCCTGCATTGTGGAAGCTTTCTCAGTTTTTTTTATAAACCTCCTAGGATTTGACTCCTTTTTTTTATGACGTTGTCTTATTCCGATCAATATTGGGTAGATCTAGATCAAGAAAAATCAAGATCTAGATTAGATCTAACAATTGTTTCTGACATTGTTTGCACAAAAGTAGACGTCTTGTACATCTCTCATAATCATAATCATCTGAGTTAGAGTTTGAGCAAGTTTAAGTCGAAAGACGCTTGGATAACAATAATAATACAAGACGGTGCAACTCGAACTTTAAGTTAGGCCTAGAGAACGTATACAAGCTGTCTACTGTCTACGTTCTTTAAGTCTAATGTTCAGTGCTTCCAAGTGTGGCATCGAATCCCGGTCCCGAAAGGGGTTTGGTTTTTTTCCTTCTCCTGAGCCTAAAAAAAATTTTTTTTAATGGACTCACAGACCAAGGAAAGCCACTACTGAACTTTAACCAGGCCTAAATTGGTAAAAGGAAAAGTATAGACTATACTAAGGCCTACTTTGTACTGAGCTCCTCTTGGGGACAAAACCAGAATGTGCAGGCTTCATCACTACATAAAAAAAACTAAAAAGCAACAAGATATAATTACAATGTATGGGAACAATTTGTTGGTCAGTCGAGAAGAGGACAACAACAACAACAACAACAACAACAACAACAACAAACGTCCAGGACCGGGATCGAACCCACGCTAAAAAAATAATGGTTGGACTTCAAGTGCAGACGCGCTGTCACTTCGGCCATCAGAACTTCCGATAGATCTAACGATGTGCAGATTAGGCCTAAGCTTGATATTTTACACTTTTATTTAGCACTGGCGCTAATCGCAACGCGGCGTTTTATTTAGCACTGGCGCTAATTGCAACGCGGCGTTTCAAATAGGCACTTCCTTTTTCCTTTATTTTTATATCTCTCATTTACTCTAAATATCGTCACCTCATCTGTGTCGACGATATATTATCTCTCACTCACAAGCAGCAGTGTCCTGTTTCAGTTTCCTGTTCAGAACAAAACAAAATTATTATGTTATTTTTTATTTTTTTTTGGGGGGGAGGTGGCGTGTATTCTGCCAATCAATATTATAATGCCAAAAGGCAATGACAGGACCCGGTGTTTCTTCACTCAGCAGAGAAACAAAAAGAAGAGTCGTATAATCCCACAAACCGGTGAGCAGAGTTGTGTACCGGACCACAATAACGCCATGGTCGGGGCTCGGTCACTACGAGGCCATGACCGACGGCTAGAGTTTGAGTTTGGTTTTGTTGTTTTTCACACAAAGTGGCCTACCGGTCCGTTCCGGACCCTCAGCCCCTACCCGACTTCGCTCCCGTTATATAATAACAACCACATTGCAGTGACAAACTGTTACGTAATATCATTTAGTTACGACGTGTTTTCGAACCCATTAACTATTTTTACAGACTGTAATGAGAAAAACATAGTGTATTAATCCAAACTTTAACTCTAACAAAATATTTTTATGGACTATTCAATACCAGTGAACTTTTCAAAAAATCATTTTAGGCAAAACGTATCAAAGTATAAAATACATGGTGGTTAGTGCCCTTATTACGGCATGGAGCGAACTGCAGTGACAATTATTTCCCTTGTCTACATATCTAGATCTACATTGATCACGGAAAAGTAAACTCAAAGATGAGACTAGGCTTGTATGAAATCTGTCTGCGTGGGCCCTAGGCCCAACTGATATAATTTTTTATTTCAATTTTATTGGGGTCCCCTC